TGGAGTAGGCATGGTCAACTATAGAAAGGATATTTTTATTTAAATACCCACTAGGTTTTTTTAAACATCCAGCAGAAAATCTTGGTCGTACATGCTTTCATTAATTCATCGCCCAGATTTTTAGATCATTTAGTAAATTCTGAAGGATCTATTTTTGGTACTTTTCTCACATGTTGGTGGTGAGGGCTTTGTTCTCTGATCTAGATATTTGTGACTATATATTATCATATGGAAAACAAGCCCAAATGAACCTTGTGCTTTGTAAGATCCAATTTGGATGCCATGAAATCCACTTCGACCATGTTAGTCCAGAGCCCGTGGTATATTCTGAACACCTCTGGTACTCTGTCTCACCTGGCACTAAGGTCCTGCAAAACAGAGACCATACCTAAGTGCCCCACTCATCAGAGGCATCTTAATTTTAAGTAACTTCTGAAAAAAACATCTATCTTACATTTTAAAAGAGGTCAGAAGCAATGAATCTGACTTGATAACTAAGTTCTTAGATCTTAAAACTGTAATATCTCAGGGTCATAGTTCTTATACTGAAGGAAGTGTCTCACAATTATAGTAGCTCTTCACAGCTTGCCTTTCCAGCAATATCCCTGCCATTGCTCCTTCTAAGTTAGAAGGTGAGGGTATACTCCAGAAGTTGCCCATTTCAACCTTAATCAGTAACAACAACCCCATTTCAGCCGTTTACATAGCCAAAAATCACAGTCATTATTATTTTTAAGGAAAAAAAAAAACATTTACCATTTATTTATAAGACTGTCCTGCTAAAAATGATTTTAATCACCTTTTCTCCTGCATTTTAATAGTTATTAATAGTGGACTTGATTTAAATCTTAAGGACTTGAGCCCTGAAGTTAGTTAACAACATAACATGTTACCGTATTTTTCGGACCATAAGACGCACTTTCCCCCCCCCAGAAGTGGGGGGGAAAAGTCCCTGCGTCTTATGGTCCAAATATAGCCTACACATATACTTTTAAAAAAAAAGTTTTTTTACTTGCCCGGCTCTGTGTGGTCTCTGTGTGCTTGCCCGGCTCTAAAATGGTTCTAAATGCTGCTGTTTACTTTACAGGGTTGATTACATGTGTTTATGACTGTGATGTTGGGTTTTAATGCACATAAAATATTTTAGGACACTATTTTTTTCAGAATCTTTTTTTCTTCATTTCCCTTCTCTAAAAACTGGTGCGTCTTATGGTCCGGTGCGTCTGATGGTCCGAAAAATACGGTACTTTGCTGGGTGTCTTTTAAGAAAAGCTGGACCTCTGTTCATGAGAGCTGGTATAGGTTGGTCCTGTTGAAAGGCTGGGTCCGCCCTGCCAGTGTCACTCAGTGGTTGAGCACCAGCCTATCAACCAGGAGGTCATGGTTCGATTCCCAGTCAGGACACATGCCTGGGCTGTGGGCTCCATCACTGGTGGGGGTTGGAGCGGGGGAGCACGCAGAGGGCAGCTAATCGATGATTCTCATCACTGATGTTTCTATTTCTCTCTCCCTCTTTGAGATCAATTTTATATATATATATATATATATATATATATATATATATATATTCTATATATACATATATATATCTAGAGTTTATTAATTTTTAAAGAGAAGGAAAAGCTTGGGCTGAGCTAATCTCACTGGTCTTAGAAATCTGCTTTTGTGTTTCCTGGGTCTATCTGAACCCATTCCTCAGAAGGCTTTCTCCATGGCTCTCCAACATTTCCCACCCTCTCTCCCACCTTTAACTTCCTTCCTTAGTTCCTTAGGCCTCCACCTAACTGCCAACCTGAGATTCCCACTGCCCTTCCCCACCCTCATGCAAATGTCATGGTAAAGGGAACACTTTTTTTTTTTTTAAGATTTATTTTTTTTTTATTTTTTAAATATATTTTATTGGTTTTTCACAGAGAGGAAGGGAGAGGGATAGAGAGTTAGAAACATCGATCAGCTGCCTCCTGCACGCCCCCTACTGGAAATGTGCCCGCAACCAAGGTACATGTCTCTGACTGGAATCGAACCTGGAACCTTTCAGTCCACAGGCTGATGCTCTGTCCACTGAGCCAAACCGGTTTTGGCAAGGGAAGACTTTTCAAGGGCTGCTCAGACTTGGGGCCTTCCTCACCCACTGTCATAGAAATGGAATTCTTGTCTCCTAACCACATCCGGGACCTGAGGTTCCTCTCACATTCCTGCCATTTTCTACAGTTGCAAGGCAAACACTTAAGGAAATTCCCTCATTTCCTTCCTCTTAGGCTGGAAGTTTAGACAGTTGACCTTTAGACAGGTCAAGATGGAAAGGGGCCCGATTGTCTGGGGGTTGGCAGACTAGGCTGATAGTAGGTGATGTGAGACAGAAGAGCTCATGGTTTACTCGGGCTATTTTTTTTTTTTATGCAAACCTTGCAGAAAATTGTAACACATAAACAAACTGCCTTATAAACTAAAACAGACTGGCAAATTCATGGCCCAAGCACAGGCCCGTCCTCTGTGCATTCTGGTGGGCCTAGTGTGTCTCAGGGCCTCTCCACACAGTAGGAAAGGACACAGCTGGGTCTAAATGAAGTGAGTTGCTGACAGTTCTTCCATCTTGTTTTTTACTCTCTAATCTCACAGAAATCTTCTCTTTTCTTTAAAAAGTGACTTGCACTTTACTTAATCACTGTGGGCCTAGTGCAAGGAGTAGGCCTAGGGCACTGGTTGCCAAACCGCAGCTCACGAGCCACATGTGGCTCTTTGGCCCCTTGAGTGTGGCTCTTCCACAAAATACCACATGCCATGCAATTGAAACTTGGTGGCCCATGTGCAGAAGTCGGTTTTCGGCCTGGGTGAGTCTATTTTGAAGAAGTGGTGTTAGAATACTCAAGGGGCCAAAGAGCCTCATGTGGCTCTCGAGTCGCAGTTTGCCAACCACAGGCCTAGAGGATCCTTGCTTGCTCCTGAGCCAGCCACCACCCCACTGCCTCTCCCCACTGCAGTCCCAAGGCCCTCATCACGCACATGTTGGTCTCTCCTAGCTGCCTTCAAGCCCCTCCTTTCTCTGCCCAGTCCTTTTTCAGGCATGTTCTTCTTGGCCCCTTGGACTTTTCTCACCGCTGTGCCCCTCCCCCCTCCCCTTCCACGATTGCCTTGTGTTCCAAGCAGCATAAATTCCCCTGGCCACCTCAGACTGGTTTTATTCCAGTCAGGAAAATGTTTCTTCCTAATAATTTTTTTTTTTTTTTTTAATCCTCAACTGAGGATATTTTTCCATTGATTTTTAGAGAAAGTGAGAGAGAGGGAAAGGCAGAGAGACTATCAGTGGGGAGGAGTCTGCAACCAAGGTAGATGCCCTTGACTGGAATCTAACCCAGGATCCTTTGGTCCATAGGCCGATGCTCTATCCACTGAGCCAAACCACATAGGGCTCTTTCTAATACTATATAATATATATATATATATATCTAGAACTGCTTATAGAAGTAATTTTGCACCTACTTACTTACAATTATAAATTTACCCATTAGCAGTTTTTGAACCAGAAATATCTTAATGAAGCACTGACATTTTTAGAAGATAAATTTTATAATGTATTTAAATAGAATTAAAGTTTTCCAAGGATATGGTGTCCTCACAACGTGGTATCTATAATATATGGAAGGCTGGTATATTATAGGCATACTTCCTTTCCTTTACTCCACCATCTTTGTCTGTTATGTGACCTTTAGCTAAAATATAATACAAATAACACTAGATTTTGAGCCTTAAATCTTTAGACATAGATCTCCTCATGGCTTCCACTTAGAAGCTTTTTTCCAGCCTATTTTCTCAATTGTGAAATGGGCTGAATAATGCAGAACTCCCAAATGTGTTCAAGAATCTGTGAAAGGTTGTTCAGTAGGGGCCAGGGCCAGATACTGGGAAGTGCTGTCCACAGCAGTGTTGTTATTTCCTGTCCTACCTGGGGCCAGAAAGTAGGTCATGAGAGAGTGTTTGCTCCATTCTGACCAGGTTTTCTTCCTCATCATATGCCTTCAGTAGGCTTTGGCTCAGAATTCAGTCTGACATTCTAAACAATGATGTCCTCGAATGAATGCAGGAAGCTTGTCACCTGCAGACAGCCAGTGACCCAAGTCCTGTGATTAAGCGAAGGACAGAGGAAGGACATGATCTTCTCTCTGAAGGGTTTTATTTATGAAGCTCCTTGTGGCTTTTTCATTTTTTCCGTGAAAAACTCTGTCCTTTTGTCTTCTGCCACTGGCCCTGGTTATGGACGGGGCGTTGATGTGAATACAGCTTCCAAATTGGAAATTAATGAGGTGTACCTTCCAGAAAGGCCTTCCTCCCTTGCTGTTAGGCATGCTGCTCATGGGAGCCCCCATTGTGGTCCTTTTTTCCCTACTGCCCTCTCTGTGAGGCTGTGGGGGACATCCTTGCTTCTCTGCTGCTTCCCCACAAGGTGGTTTTAGGCTAGTTTTCCTGGCCTCAATATTTTTAGTCCCCCGTGTCAGGGTGATTCCAGAATCACTGGATTGTGTTAAAGCAAGATAGGTTCTGCTGCCTGAGACCACTGTCACATGGCCAGATAGTTCTCGATGGCTCTTCAGAACTTCCACTTTAACCTGTTGTGTGGTCCCCCCCCCAACCCCTCCCATTGTGGGTTCAAAAAGAAGGGCAGTACAGGTTTTCTGGGATGCAATAGGAAACCTCATTAGTCGCAGATCTGTTGGTGTTCATGTGTGCTGTTAGGATGGGTATTGGTGGATAAGGAGCCAAGGTGCCTGTTGGGAAGAAGTGGCTCAGACTGAGGTAGTACAAGCAGCACATGTTGTTAGGGAGCTCTGAGAAGTGCAGACATCCAGTTCTGCCATTGGATCAGTTTTTGTACCCAGCCAGAACCTAACACCATTCTGAGCAAAAAGCCAGTGCTCAGGGAATCTTTGGAGAATGCATGTGAGTGAATGGTCACATGTAAGAAAAACCTGAAAACCAATTCCTTACAATCTGTCCTCCTGCAGATCCTTAGTGAGTGGTTCGGTCGGACCATCATCTGCTCCTGCACCAAACTGAGCTACGAGCACGCACAGAGCATGATTGAGAGCCCGACTAAGACAATCCCTGAGCAGGAGCTGCCCCCCATCTCCGCAGAGCACACCGTTGAGGAGGTACACCAGGCTGTCTTGAATCTTCACCGGATTGCAAAGGAGTTACGCAAACAGCGGTTTTTGGATGGCGCACTGCGTTTGGATCAGGTCAGTCACTTCCTTTTATCAGTGCAACCAATGGATTTTCTTTGTACCTGAACCCCGCATGTCTGCAACTCAGCATGGTAGCCTTGGACTCTTCTCGCCTTGTTTCTTCAGTCACTGCTCTGAAACAATGTTCCCCAAGGTAGGCAGGAACTAACTCCCACTCCCCCTAGCTCCACAGGCACCGCCGCCTAACACTGTGAGCCCAGGCAAAGGGTAGTGTCTGAGTGACTGTGAGACCAAAGCTCCCAGGTGACCTAACCTAAGAAGGTATGTCCAGTATTTGGTCCTCACCTTGGTTTCTACTGTTAATCCTTTTTAACTGAGCTGGGAACAGGAAATGTGGACATGTAGAAGTTAACCAGTGTCTGATTATGGGGCTTAAAGAAATTAGTGTTTCTTCTTATCCCTTGTCTTCCCAAAAGAATTATGTTTACAAATTCTAGATTTATATCTGAGGAAGCACAGATCTGGGGAGTCTATAGAATGCTGGCTATTGAAGAAAACAGTGTCCCAAAATGGTATTGATGGCTCTGGAATAGCACAGCCATGCCAGTGGTTCACTGGGACTTAGGCAACTGTCATTCAAACTTGGCTGAGTTGCTATGTGTGGTAACTCAGTTATCTGTATCTCATTGGCCCTCTCATTAGAAATGAGAAAGCCAATGTCCCCAAAGTTAAATAAGTTGCTTATATGCAAGAAATCCAGATAGCTAGCACTTTGTTCACCTTTCCTCCTTTACGCCATGCTGACTTAAGAGAAAAAGTTTCCTTTCAAGTGAGAAAAACAAGCCCTCAAAAGTCCTACTTAAGTTCCAGTTAATGAAGGTTTGAAAATAAGGGATTTGCATCCTTGGAGTTGAATCCTTGGTTCTCTAGATGAGTGTGTGGGCCAGGACTTTAGGAGGAGCACATTAGTCTCCTGCGACAGACACCATGAGTTCCTTTATAAATCAGCTCAGTGGCCCATTTGGTAGTCACTGCATTTGTTCTCATGTGCCGACTGCCTGCATTTGCCTTCACTAAAATCCATTTTTCTTCAGGGTTTTGGCATAACCTGCTATTTGAATTGCTTTCTGATTCTATGTTTGCCTCAGTTCACGATGTCCATATTTTTGGTGGCAGTCCTAAACTACATATATGCATTTTTTACACTAACCTCAGTTAGGAAGGTGCTACGAGAGGCCTTCCTAATTGAAGTTAGTGGAGACACCATTCATGTCACACAGTATGCCCTTGAATGCAGAATAGATCTGCTAACCCAGAAGTCACCTTTCCAAGAAGTCAGTTTACTGTGATGACTTTCAGAATGGGTGAGATGGAGGACACTAGCATAGTACCTGTTTGCCAGGTAAGGACTCAATGGTTTGGAGGTCATAACAACTTCAGAAATGCAGAGCAACTTGACCATTGGGTGATTGCAGTCCACACCTTAGACCAGAGCTGCCACACTCATGTCTGAAATGGTACATCCTCAGCCCTTAGGGCTACCTGGGCTGGCCTCAGTCCCTGGGGACCACCTGCTAGCAGTCCTGTCTGCTTATCCTAGCCTGCTGTCAGCTACTAGCAAGTTCTGTATGTGCTGTGATGTGAAACAGATGGGAAGCACTGCCTTTGAGGTTGGATTACCTGCTCCAAATGTATGGTAACTCTGGAGCTTAAACCGAGTTGTAAAGAGAAATGATGCTCCTTTATGCCATTGCCTGAAAGCAAGTGTAGGTGCTAAGTGTATTCTTTGTGCTTGTGGGTTGGATGAGTTGAGTAACATACCTTCCAGGTGGTTTCTTCCCACCTTCATGTTTTCTGATGCCATGTTAATTCTAGAGTTTAACACATGCATGTTTTATTTTCTTTATTATAACATATATATACATATGTTTCTTAACAGAGATTCCCATAAAGGGACTTTTATGTGTTTGTAGTCAAAGTAATCATAATGGATTATAATCATATCTAAATTTGAGTTTTGTGGGGTGGGGGACTATGGGAAGCCCTACACCCTGTTTAGTTTTTTTCTGGATGACTCAGGCCTGCCCTATGGGCCTTGGGAGTGCACAGAGCTCCCTGACCCCCATCCTCCCAGGAGCCTCCTCTCCAGGGATGAAGATGCCATTAGTTGACTCTGATGTGATGTTCTGTGTTTTAGCCATTGCCTTCAGAAAGGATAACAAAGGGAGGGTAGCAGGATGCTAAAAAGAACACCCCCCCCCCCCCAAACAAAAATCAGGAAGCTACACTTACAGTTTTCTGGGCCTTTCTCCAGGCTGACACCCTTAGTGTGATGACAGCACTCAGAGGGAGGCCCTCCGTGGAGGCTTCTGAAGAAAGGAGCCCACTGCCTGAAGGAAACTGGGCCACTTCAGGATCCTCAGCATGTGAGAGGGTGGAAACGGCTGGCTCCTGATGAACCTTTGACTTTCTGAATTAGAGAAAGTTGTAGTGAATAAAATTTATTTTCATCTTCTTAGTCAAATTCCTCTAAACTAAAGGGGCCTTTATTAAATTATCAGCCATCTTACATGAATCCTACCTCGCACAATTTTGAAGCTCAAATTAGTGAGCAAGATGAACTCATTAATGGAAATAATTTTTAAGAACCTTGGGATCCAAGCTGCTGTGGAATGCTATTATGGACTAGAGGCCCGGTGCATGAAATTCGTGCATGGGGGAGGGGGGATGGAACCCTCAGCCCAGCCTGTACCCTCTCCGATTTAGGACCCCTTGGAGGATGTCTGACTGCCAGTTTATTGAAATGCAGTCTGGCAGTCAGACATCCTTCTCACAATCTGGGACTGCTGGCTCCTAACTGCTCACTTGCTTGCCTGCCTGATCGCCCCTAACTGCCCCCCTCCCGACTCCACCGCCAGCCTGATCACCCCTAACCGCCTCTGCCTGCTAACCTGATCATTTCCAACTTCCTCCCCCTGCCAGCCTGGTTGCCCCCAACTGCCCCCCCCCCCTCCCAGCTGGCCTGGTTGCCCCTCACTGCCCTCCCTGCTGGCCTAGTTGCTTCTCACTGCCCCCCTCTTCTGGCCTGGTCACCCCACGCAGCCTGCTCTTCAGTCATTTGGTCATCCCTCACTAACCCCCTGCTGGCCTTGTCGCCCCATGCAGCCTTCTGTTCAGTCATAACTATGAGGATGTTTTGACAAATTTGCATATTACCCTTTTATTAGTATGGATGGCCTTACCTAGGCATCTTTTAAGTTATGGATCTGCAGGCTTTCTCTAAAGGGCAGATAGTAAATATTTTAGGCTTTGTGGGCCATAAGGTCTGACTCCAATACTCAGCTCTGCTGTCATAATGTGAAAGCAGCCAGAGATAGACAAACAAGTGGGTGGGGCTGTTCCAATAAAATTTAAGGACACTGAAATTCAGTGTTCATATAATTTTCATGTCACAAAATGGTATTCTCCCTTTAATTATCTTTCATTTATTAAAAAATGTAAAAACCATTCTTAGCTTCCATACAGAAGCAGTTGGAAGGTTGGAGTTGGCCTGTGATCCATGGTTTTCAGACCCAGTCAGCTCTTAGCAGCTCATCATTGCTGCACTGAGAATTAGACTGGGTAATGGGAATAGTTGTGCTAAGTTAGCTCTCAGGATGGTTTCATGCAATTAAGTAAAGTATTCCTTTGATTACTGCCATGCTTAGCAGGTCCAATTGGTGGCCAGAAGTAGAGGAATAAATCAGTTTAGCACCAGCTCCCTTACCCTATTTACAGTCAAGTAGCTTTAATTGGCCTGAAGCAAAAAGAGCAGTGGTTTTTATTTCCCACCTCTGCAAGCTCTGCAGCCTCTTTATAGTCAGTCTCCTCCCACCAGCCCATGTCCTGGGCCCACTTGCAGAGATGCTGGCTCTGCCATCTTGTTGGGTACACTGAGGGTTGGGATTGCTCATGGCAAAACATGGCTCTGATGCCATGGTATGGCATTCTCCACTTGCCCCTGTTGCTATATATAGGAGTACATTATGTTGAGTCATGCATTTATAAATTATAGTTAAGAATATTTTTATTCCTTCTCTCCAATATAGTTATTTTCAAGAAATGAACATTTAGCTCTCTGCTGTTTCATTTTTATCCAATATGGTATTTGATATAAGATAGAAGGATGGGCCTAATCATTCTATTTGGCTCTTCTTTGGTTTTATTATTTATGCCATCATTTTTGCACAAGAGTAAACTGTTAATCAGGTGGTTGGATTTGTTTGTAGAATCGGTCTCGATTCTAATAGTCACAGAATCCTTCATGCAACATGGCTGCAGAAGGCATTCTTTGGGTGCTGGAGATGAAGGATGGAAGAATAAGACTTGGTATAGTGGAGGAGCCAGCGGACCACCCAGAAAATGAAAAGTGCCACAACTGAGCTCTCACCGAGTGCAGTGAGACTGTACTGGAGTGGACCGGCCTGGTTTCAGACATCAGAAGGTTTCCCAGCAGGGAAGGGTGCCCATGGGGGCTTTAAAAAGACTTGAGGGATTCACCAGGCTCTGAAGACACTGGGGTCCTGGGGAGCGCATTTCAATAAACAACTGGTACAGGCATGAGAGGAACAACAGGTGACACATTCGGGCAATGGCCAATTGCTCCAGATCATGAGGTATATAGTGAAGGGAGGGAGCAGCTAGGGAAGAAGGCAGAGGCTGGGCCTTGAAATCAGAGAACCTTCTAGGGGAGCCATGGAATTATTTCAAATATGGAGGTGATGTGATCAGAACTGTGTTTTAGAAAGTTTACTAGCTATAGTATGAAGAGTAGACTGAAGGAGAACAAAATAAAGGATTCTTATATTCTAAGAGAGTAACATAATGACTGTAGGGAGAGAAATTTACAGATCCAAGAGCTGAAGGAAAATCGGTGAGCCTTGACCAACTAGATTTAGGAAACTTTACCCTGTCTCCTTAAGACATTCCTGGAACACTGATGATAGGGTCAGAGATACAGACATATTTAAAAATCTTGAACTATTGTCACATACCATTCTAGAAAGGTCATACCA